ACCGAGGCTTCCTCATATCACTGGAGAGAGAGGCAAGCAGCCAAAATCCATGCCAATCCACCGGCCTGCCAAATGGATGTGGGGTAGGGTAGCATGAGGGAAGGAGAAAAATAATAAGACGAGAGGGACCCAGCAAGATGCCCCCTCCAAAATAAAAATAAAGCCCACCCTACGTACTCCAACTCTTCTTCCTGCTTCCCCACCTCTGAGGCTATAGTTTCGCATGAAAGAAGCATGTGTCCTACTCAGTCCCAGAGGGAATGCACCAACGAAGGCTGCAGGATCGGGTCTGGCCATTTCAAAGAGGAGTCGGTTCCCAGCAAGACAGCCCTGCCCTGCCTTGCAGTCTGGCAGTTGCTCTCTCTGCTCCGCCTGGCCCTGTCTCCTCTCTCCTGTTTGGGTCTGTGGCAAGCTGGACGCTTTTAAAAAGCTTTGTGTGTGTGTGTGTGTGTGTGTGTGTGTGTGTTAATCACATGATTGTCATTCACCTGTATCTCAAACAAAGACAGCGCACTGTTAAAAGCCCAAACAAGAAAGCAGGCAAGGGAAGGAGGGGGGTGTAGAGGGAAACTGAAGGGGTTGTTGAGAGAGAGAGAGAACCCTTATCAAACTCCCAATTCATGGGTCTCCCTTTCCCTCAGCACACTGGCGTTATTGTTTGGCTATTGTGTGTGTGTGTTTTCCAGTGTCTGTTCCCCCCACTCTGACGCTGTTTTATTGTATGGAAAGATTTCACTGTGAGCTCCTCCCATTTTCCCATGCAGTCCCAGGACAATACCAGTCCTGTGCCCCTGAGAAGGGATATGGCACAAAAACAGCCGCTGTCATACTTACCCGGATTGCTGCTGGAGTGAAGCAGCTCAGGTATTTGTGGTGCATATATGATCACATGCACAAGCTTGCTCTGGAACTTGAAGGAGAGGTTGGTTAAGAAGAAGTGCAGCCCTTATGCACCCAGAGCTTTCTTTGAAACAGCATCCCCAGACTTCTTGCTCTTCTTTCCCTCACCTCCTTGCTGCAAGGAGACTTCTTTTCCATCCCCCTACTTCAGACACACTCTTCCTCCTTCATGGGTCACATCCCAATAGAACTCTTATTCTTCCTGTCCTAGTCACCCACCAGATAGACACTTCAACTACCATGGAGTTGTCCCAGGGATGAATTTGTCTCTTGGTATCTCATCCATTTACTACTGCATTGTAACTACTCAGACCACTGAGCCTGGAGCCTGCCTTCAGACCTTCCTTTTGGACTTGTAGATGGCTCACCTATTCTTCTAGTCTTGATCCTTAATGCTTGGCTAAAAACAACAATATGGCCCCTATTACTATAGTATCCGAGTGCATCAGTCTTAATATATTCATCCACACAATACTTCTGTGAGGCATGGAAGTGCCATAATCCTCATTTGCAGATGGGAAATTGAGGCATGGAGCAACTTAGTCACTTACCCAAGGTTACACTGGAAGTCTGTGACACAGCAGGGTTCCCTGAGTCCCAGGCCAGTGGACTAACGGCTGGGCTACGATCCCTAGACTAAAACAAGTTTGAGACCCAGAAATCTTAGCTTTACAGAGATAATGAAAAAACATCATTTAACTTGGAAACGGGGATGGAAACCTTAAAGAGATTGCTGCCCGGGTACCTATTGGCTATGGTACTCTATGCAGAACCCAGGGGATCCTTATCCTTACAAAGATCAGTGCTGAAATTTACCAGATGTGATAGGAGATGTCTTGGCCATACACTATGTCCACACAGGAGCTCAAAAGTGTCATTTCCATCCTGAACAGAAAACCACGCTAGCTCTGATCAAGCTAGAGTGCTAAAACTAGAAGCGTTGCTGCAGCAGTGTAAGAAGTCAGAGGGACTAGTCAATCAAATAGGTATGTATGGTCTCGGAAGGTATCATATATGGGGCTGACAGCCCATCCTGCTACTCACACTGTATCAGCTATGCTTCTATTCTTTGTACGATAGCTTAATGAGAGTTAGAGTGGCTATCTCTGCTCCAGTTGGAAATTACACCTTGCAGCTGCCAAACCCGTTCATCTGAAGATAAAAAAGTGTCACCCACAATGATTCCTTGCAGAGAGATGGGTGCTGGTCTTCTCCCACTCTGCATCCTCTCATCTCAGTTAGAGAAATGATGCCACACCTTCAGCCACCCTGATACTTCCCACCATGCTGCCTTGATGCAATAGGAAAAGTTGGCAGGGCAGGAAATTAGGCTGAAATACTTGTGCTGCTCTCCAGTCTTTGAGGTACTTTGGGGGAGGGGAGAGGGAATCTGAAACGCAGAAGTGAAGGAAAACCAAAACACAAAAGATTTGGTCTCTTTGTCCCAGCACTGGGAAGGGTCAGTGTGTGCTCCCCACCCGCAAGTCCCTAGGGACACATAAGCATTGAAGAGGTGGGATCTCCAATCCCATCATCTCCCCTAGATTTAAGTGGGGTTCTCTTAGAGCAGGAGCTTCAATCCTCGGGTGCCTTATTCCCTACAGCTTTGCTACCAGGTCCTTGTAATCCCATTCTTGGGGGGAAAAAAAATCTCTTCCCCATTCTCTCTGTCTCCTGGGGTCAGCAGGATCCTGCACCTGGAGGGATGGGAAACAAATGCCCCATCTTATTGTATCCTGCTTTGCCCTTCCCCCATCCCAGGTTGGTATTAACTGCAGACAGGGGAACAATTAGGCCAGTGTTTCTCAGCCGTGGCTACCTCCCCATGGGACCAGGAGACAATCCCCTCCTCCTCCCTCAGGCTGTTCCTCTTCTCCATGGAGATTCCTGGATCCCTCACACAGGCTCTTGTCAGCCTAATGATGAACCATACTGACTAAAGAAGAGGTGCTCAGTTCAGCAAAGTCTGTGTGATACAGCAACACTGCACCTAGTGTGCCTTGATGATTATTATTGCTCTTGGGAAGAGGCCACCTGCCCCGGTTCTTTTTCCTTTAGTGGGGCAGTTTTAGCAGGTCATGAAAATCCCAATGAAGAGAAGATAAAAATGCCAAAAAATTCTTGTAAGACCAATGGGACTTCTCCTCACAGCCCACCAGAATGTCTGCAGGGAATACACATGTAGAGTGTCTTGCCAATAGGGGAGCGCACCCGTGTGAAAATGCCTGGGTCTCGCCTCACCAGCACCTGCACCATTTTAATCTAGGAATCAGGGCCTGAGATTTCTCCCCTGGGATCTCAACTGGGAAGTGTGTATATGAGGGGAAGGGGGGCTTACACACCTCACCTTCCCAGAGAAGATGGGACAGTACTAGGGAAGGTGCCATAAGTCCTCGTGTTACTTAGGTAGGAGAGAACCACCAGATTCTTGGCTTGGGCTTTTTTCACACAGACAGACAAACAGTAGTGGAGGAGAGGAGAGAGAAAGAGTTAAAATCAGCCTCCTGGTGGGGAGTTATTTGGTGCCACACCCCGCCCAGAGAGCTGCCCATTGGAGTATCTGAATATTACACACATGCCAAGTACTTGCTGTCAGTGAACCTGGCTTCATTAAGCTTTCAACATAGACTTCTTCTTTGGGCTCTAAAGCAGCTGTCCTTGGTGCCACTCTGGTTCTGGCCCTCACCACGTTGGATATTGTAGCTCAAATGCTCACCACCTGTCAGTGGTATTATTTCCCTGTCTCTTCGTGTGGCCATTATTTACTCAGTCATTCCATCACTGGGTCTTCTAGTGAGTCAAGCTCTGCTCCTGAGGTTCATAATGTCCTTAGAACTCCTTTGATGGAATTCTGTCCATGTCTCACCACAACTCGGCCTTTCTTCACACTGTAATTCCTGGACCAGCACTGAAACACGTCCACGCTGACACACTATTCAGACTCCATGCCTAGCGTTCTGGGCTGGGCTGGTTGGTACCACCAGACGGTATGGAAAGGCTGGTTCCAAGTCTTGAAATCTTTGCAGAGGGAATCCTGAATGGATACGTCACTGGGTTTTCAGCCACATGAGTGAGACAGAAAGTGATATTAGGAATCCAAAGATCAAAGTATTCTGGGAGGTTAATAGGAGAGAAAACAAAATGTGTAATGGAAAATATACTAATCCACGCTACCATGTATATCTTATGTGATCCAATGCACACGTGGGGGAGGGGAGAGGGGGGAGATATGTGATCCAATGCACACGTGGGGGAGCGGGGAGGGTCAGATAATGAGAGTCAGAGAGTTCTTTCTGCAACTCCTGAGAATCCCCCTTCCTCACCACCATCCTTGTGTTGACAAGTCATAGAAGTGGTCCAGTCCTGCTTCCTATGTGACCAGAACCTGGGGTATCTGCCACAAAACACTCCTAACACCGTATTGGCATGTAAGTGCTGGGTCAGTCCCATCTTAGGGGCAAAGGAGCACAAGTGAGGGAGTCAAACCCATGTCTTCTGCATGGTCACAAAGTATTAATCCCCCAAACCTTGTCATGTATCTAGAACACATCACCCCCAGGAAGCTCCTGGGTTATTCCCAGCCCTCACTAGCCTTATAGAATAAAAAACCAGGAGTGAGCATTTTGAATCTGGGCCTCCTTTATAGGACAGCAATAACCCACATTATACCAGACCTGTCCTCTGCAGTGCACACAGGTCCTGCTGGTCCTTGGGCAGCTGTGACTAGAACCCACCACTCCATGCTAACTCCTAGGTCACCAGGCCTGGCCCCTAGAAAAAAACCTGTTGGCTGAGGGCAAGAGAGACCAGGCAAGGAACTTAAACCCAGTCTTCTTAGATAACAGAACAGACCCCCTCACTATCCATGGCATAAACCACATCCTATTTTAATTCCCCAGGAGGGGGAAAAAATAAAATAAAAGTAGACTGCAGCGTTCCTGGAGAAGCCTGCACTCAAGAAAGCGAGGAGCATGCATATGCTGAGTTGGAGATTGGGGGGGGGGGGGGCTGTTAAGGTTCCCTCCCTGCCTGCATCAAATCAATGTATTCCAGTTATAAAGAGTGCTTAGCTCCACCTTCTGCCCTTCCCTCCCCCAGTGCTAAGCAGCAAGCCAGTCAGAGAGACATCCAGCCAGAGGATTAGTAAAAACCAAGTCTCCCTCTAGGAATGGCACTCGTCTGAGAGTCTCCTCCACGCAGGGCTCCTGTTCACTGCCAGCACTCTGAGAGAACAGAGGGGCTATTGGGATACAAATTACAGCCCTCTCAGGATTTGCCAGGCAGACCAGCCAACGTAAGTTTTCCTACCTGAACTCACTCACATGCTCACTCTCTTTTTCTACCTTCTATTACTTTTTCAGTTTTTTCTACAGGAAAAATCCTTGCCTGCCTCACTAGGGGAGCGGGCAGCTAATAACCCTACTCCCTATTGGATCCATTTGCTACTAAAGCAGGGGAGACAAATTTTTCTATCCACTTTTTTTTGGGGGGGGGGACTTTATTTTTTGAGCATTTCCTTCATAAGGTGGAGAGACTGGTGCATGGTGGCAGAGATGTTTGGTGGTGGCCGCAGAGAGCAAGAGAGAGAGATGGGGTGGGGGAGATGTGTGAAACTGGCAAATTAAAGACTTGGCTTTGCCAGAGAGGCTTAAAAAGAAATATATACCTGTATATAAAGTGTTAGCGTTTCCACTCACAGACTTTCTCAGTCCGCATCAGCTACCTAACCCGGTAATTCAGGGGTGCGCTTGGGATTTGCCTCTAACTCAGCCATTCTCACTAAACTTTCTCCTGCCATTCTGAGACCTCTTCATTTTGATTTATTAATACAGAAGCCACTGGTTTCCCCTCCCTCCCCCCCATCTCTGTTCCTGGTCAGACTTTCAATATAGGTTTTAAATAGAAAGTGTCATCACCAAGGGCCAAATTTTGGGGGGCCCTATGGAGGATTATTCTTAGAGAATGGGGTGTATTTTGCCTTGATCTTTCCTTTTCCACTCTATGCCACCAATGTGCTCAGCTAGCAGCAGGCACCTCCATATGCCCACATTAAACTCCAGAAAAGAGCACAGATCGGGAGCTTCCAATTAATCAGGATCCCCGCCCCCACTCGATCATGGGTTTCATGGGTCCTGTGAGCTGCACGTATGGCAGCGCCTTTGATTTGCTTGTATCAAGTGGTTCCCATCCTGTGGCCAGTACTGTGAGAGGTTCAAATCTTTTTAGTTTGGGTGTTTGGTTTTTCTTTTTTTTTTCCTTTTTCTTTTTTTTTCCTTTCCAGTGGGAAGACGGGATATTGAGACAGGAGAGAGAGCAAGGGCAAAAGACATAATGACAGATGACCAAGACCTTTCAGAGGTAGAAATGAGCCCAGTGGGTTCTGAAGAACATCACTGCCTCTCACCGGGACCTTCCATGACATCAGATACCACCTCTCATCTTACCAGCTCTGGGAGCGGAGAGATGGGAAAGGTCAAGAAGGAGCAGCAAGACTCAGAGACGGACGACGATAAGTTCCCCGTGTGCATCCGGGAGGCAGTGAGCCAGGTGCTGAGTGGTTACGACTGGACCCTGGTGCCCATGCCTGTGCGGGTCAATGGGAGCAACAAAAGCAAACCCCACGTCAAACGGCCCATGAATGCCTTCATGGTGTGGGCACAGGCTGCCCGCCGGAAACTGGCTGACCAGTACCCTCACCTCCACAATGCAGAGCTCAGTAAGACTCTCGGGAAGCTCTGGAGGTAAGGAGGGCAGAAGGGTGAGGGCAAATGCAATCAGAGAGAGGCTGCATGTCAAGGTGAATGCTGGGAACAGAATGAGATTAAAAGGGCATCTATTAAATTCCCAACACGGGGGAAGATCACAGGGGTAAGGGAAAGTTACAGGGAAGCAAAGAACCAGCAATGGTTTTTAGCATCAGCTATTTGGCAAGCTTCCTCTGCAAAGCTCTGCCCATGCTGCTCAGTCTTGACCTGCAGCCCCCACCTGGCTATACCACTCTCCCCCAGCATACCTCATTCTGGCCTGTCGAACCCCTTGTGACTCCAGTCCTAGGCCTCTCCTGAGGCTCAGGTACCTGATTGTGTGTGTGTGTGTGTGTGTGTGTGTGAGAGAGAGAGAGAGAGAGAGAGAGAGAGAAATCACTGTCTACAAGGATTGACTAGGCTGACTCCCTCCAACCTCTTTACACTCATGATTTCCTAAGGGCAATTGGAACAAGGTCTGGGAGGGCATGTCTACACAGCAGGGTTATTTCGGAATAATGGATGTTATTCTGAAATAACGTAGTGTGCGTCTACTCAGCAAGCCCGTTATTTCAAAATAAATTCAAAATAACGGGCTTCTTACTCCGACTTCTGTAAACCTCATGGTAGGAGTAAGAGAAGTCGGTGGAAGAGTGTTCTATTTCGAAATAAGCGCTATGTAGACACACCCAAATTCAAAATAAGCTATTTTGACTTACGCTACCTGGAGATAACAGACTGGAAGGTCTTAACACCCAGAGCGCTATCTAGTGGGTTGGACTCTTGTTTATGACAAAGTCAAGAGAGAGCAAAGTAGCCAGGCAGTGATACCCAACCACACATCCCACCCAAAGAATGCTTTCTCTGATAGCCACTCACAGACTCAGCTAGCTGCTGGTTCTAGATTCCGCCAAGATGTCAATTTAAAATTAGCAACACATGGATTGCACAAGAGGGGCAGGAATGGGCTATCCCAGCAGAAAGTGGTGAAAACTAGAGAACAGTGAGGGATGGTGGAGAGAAGGGGCAGTTAGAAAAAGACTCCCACCGATGTACTGAGTATGCCTTGCCATTCACAGCTTTTTATGGCTGAACATTACTGTTTGTGTCTTATCAGACTGCAGGGGCTGCAACTCTGCCCCTGTGTGCAGGCCTGTGGCATGCAGTAAATAAGGAATAACAGTAACTCAGTAGCCATTCCTGTAGCGAGTTGGCACAGGCTGACACAAGCTTCCCACTCGCACTTTACACACTTACATGCTCATCCCTTGTACCCACACTACTCTTCAGTTTGTGAAAGCCATTTTAATTGTGGGTCCTTTCCCTGTCCTCCCTGCCCCCAGGATCCTTACTTAAGTCATCCCCTCTGGGACTGATAGGTTCTGCCAAGAGATGAGGCTGGAGGGACCACATATCACTCATGTGACACAAGGCATGATGGTTTCCATGAATGACTCCAGCAAATGATTACAAACACCCCACTCTCACCACGATTGTCCAAGATACATCCCGTCCCTCACCATCACTTCTCTGCCTGGTGCCTCCCATCCCAAATCAAGACCCCATCAGCTTCATGTGAATGGCCCTGGAATTCCACAGAGATAGAATAGGCCCCCTTTCATACCCTGCCCTTCCCTGGCACTGCCCTTGACAGGAGGTGCTCACCTGCTGAATGGGGCAGGAGATGTCTCCTGAGAACAGCAGCAGCGAGACCAGACATTTCTCCAGAATAGAAGCAAACTCATGACCATCCCATTGCCACTTGTGGCTCAATTCTCACACTGATGTCCATCAGCTCCTCCTGTGTGGGAGCATTAAGCCCCTGGGCATTGGCTTCTCCGTTGATCACATCAAGAAGTTTATCCAAACCCCTCTGCCTTTCATGGAACTCAAGCAATATGATTCCCTTGGAGAATGACAGCAGGGAATTGTGATGGGCCTCAAAGCTGATTCCCATGCCTGGGTGTTTTTAACCCTTCCCATTTCCATCTCCCTCTGCCTTTTCCATGATTTCTCCAATCTCATGCTCATCTTTGGATACCATGCAGAATGATGATCCCAGTTAATTTGCATTGCACTAATCATCCCTGTTGCCTCCTTTCCGGTAGGAAAGTGACTGTGCCGAGCATATATCCTGGCTCTCATTTACTCTCTCCCACTTTGGAAAGCAGTTGATGTGCTGTCCATTTGCCTCTCTCCTTACACTGTCACTGGGCTGCCCTTTACTAACAATTACCTCTTGTACACTTCGTTCCTACCCATTCCTTTGGTTTTCCTCCTGATTTCTCATCCCACCACCACCTCAACATTTTATTCTACTGGAGAAGCAAGACCCTCATTTTAATTTTCCAAAGTATTATTAAAATAACGCTCCTGTACTGTTCCAAAGATAGTGCTGTATTTTGTAGCAATGGCTTCTTAAGCATTATATGACAGTTCTGGCCTGAAGTGAGAAGACTGCCATATATGAGCTCTTAAATGCTTGGGTAACAGCCCAAAGAGACCAGGGTGCTCTACTGTGCAGATACATGACAGCATTGTACGTGACTGTCCCCTCCCCACCAGTGCTGCATTGAGAGACCTAACACTATTGAGAGCTGTAGTGTTCCTGATCCTGCAGGCAGACTGCAGAGCCCACACGTAACCCTGCTGAAGTCAATGGGGTACTGTGTGGATGCAGGGGGTCTGTTGTGCAGAGTAGCTTGCAGGATCAGACCCTCAGACTGTCGCTGTCAAATACTGTGGCATTTTTTAGATTGGAAAAGTCTCCCCACGCCCCCACATATCTGCTATTTTGGTTGTTTTTGCTAATGGACTGGCAGGGAGCCTGCTGCTTTCAGAAATATTCTTACCAGTCTGTGTTGGGCAATGCAGCAGAGCAAGTTGGAGCTGTGCATGTATAGACAGGATCGGCATCCACACTGCCTTGTTGGCATCATTGGGTGTGGGAAAATAAAGTGAACCATAAAAGCCAGAGGGAGTCACCCAAAAGTGTGACTGTCCCATAGGAAATGTACTACACTATCAGAGCCCTTATGATCTTCAATAGAACTCCAGACAATTTTCTGGTGTCAGTTTCCTCCCTTTAGAAACTCCACAATATGTAGCATGAGCCAGACTTTTAAAATTGACTAGCCATTTTGGGTACCTAACTTGAGATGCCTGAAGAGAGGCCTGATTGTCTGAAAACCAGAACCTGTCAGGTGTCATGTTGAGCATCCAAAATCACCAGTCACTTTTGAAAAATGTGGGCTTCCACGTAGGTGGGTTTTATGTCAGTGCCTAGATGTTATGGTAATAGGAGCATTAGAAATACCAAGGCAGGAAGACAGAGAAAAATCTACTGTTG